TTGTTTTGGTTGATCTGTTTGAAGTGAATGTTTATATGCAGTTTAGATGATATTTATGATATTGTTTCATTGGTGGTAGCAGGAACGCGTAGCAATCTAGTGCACATAGAATAAAGTCTTTAAAGTTTTGAGCTTTTTTTCAAAAACAATTTCAGATGAAGTCTTTAAAATTTGAAAGCCTACAGAGAAGAGTTTTTTAAAACAAAGTTTTTCGAATGATATTGTTAATTAAGAAGTTCTATAAGTAGAGTTTTTATTTTTCAAATAGAATAGTAGTTTATTCACTTTTTATATGTAATTGGATTTGCAAGGACCCATAAAAAAGTATGTGAAAAAAAGTTCTCATATTTTGAATATTTATTAAGTTTTTTTTTTTTTTTTTTTTTTTTTTTATAGGTGGGTGATATGGCTACCTATATGTGGACACAAATTAAAGGGGCGTTACATATAACAAAACTACGTTATAACAAGTGGTAACCACATATTATAAAACTAATTAAATTTTCATAATAAAAATTTATAATTATTAATCAATTATTTTAAATAAATTATTAATTAAGAGATATATCAAATGTTTAAAATTATTATAACTTCAAATTTAACATATAATTAAAAAATATAAATTTGAATTTGAAATGAGTTGCCTAATATATCTATATGACATATAACATAATATTAATAAAGAGTTGTATTAGAATGACACTTGACAAAAGAAGATTAAAACTATTTATTTATTAGAATAGAGATTATAAAAAATGACACTAGTATCTAAGATATTTTATAGTGCGAAACATTTTTTTAGGTGGTTTATTGTAAAAACCGCATTATTAAATGGTTATAGCATTAGAAAATAAGAGAACCACATTAAAAAAAACACCGAAAGAGAACTCCCGGTACATTTGTTAGTGTGGTTCACAAAGAATTAGTACTAGAAACGATTTTTTTGGTATGACTTGTTGTGAAGGCATCATTAAATTACGATTTTTGTGCTATATTTTGAAGAGCGCATCATATAAAACTTAGCTATATCAGTATAGGGGTTTCTGTAAACACAAACATACTTCTTTTTGGTGCAGTTTCTCTGCAGCATAAATGCATAAAAACTCAAAATATTCTCATTAATTGTTTCAATATCTTCATTAAAGGTAATTTTAATTTTAATATTCATTTGATTTTATTCTAACTATTTATTTATTAAATGATTTTTTATTGTTATTTTTTAAATTGATTTTTTGTTGATTATTAACATGTTACGGTTTACATAACTTGTTTGTTTAAAATCAATATATTTATATTCTTTTTTTTGTTTATTTTAATCTTTAGATGAATTGTGATTATTGGATGTACAAAACTTCATGTTTTTTGAATCTTACATAGAGGGTGTTGGAACTTTTATTTGCGTTGCCGAAGTAAATCGTGTGAATAAAGAAAATGGATCAATTTGTTGTCCTTGTAATGTTTGTAAATTTTTTTTTAAATGTTTAATTGTACCGAAGAAATAGGGTATCATTTGTTGCAAAATGGTTTTGTACCATATTAGACTTGTTGGTCAAGACATGGAGAAACACTACTTGATTGTAGCACATCGTCAAGCAATTTACATATTAATAATAGTACATACAACAACGATTCATATCTTGATGATGATGATCACCATATGGATGACCCTAATGACAATTTCAATGAAATATTTGATGAAATGGAAGCTAATATAGGTGATGTTGAACAAGAAAAATTACAACGCTTATTTGAAGAAGCAGAAAAACCATTATATAGCGGTTCCAAATTTATGGAACTTAATGTTGTATTAAGTTTGATAAACTTAAAGTCGAAAAACGGATGGACTGATAAAAGTTTCACACACTACAAAAAAAGACCATTTTACGACGCGCAAACAACGACACTCATTGATTTATGTTACGCAAAAGAGAGTGACATTAAAAAAGTGTTGGCTCTTCAAAATATTTAAGGATTTAGGTCATGCATTATTGCGTGCCCTTAAATTAGTGTCTAAAAAAAAAAAAAAAAAAAAAAAAAAAAAAAAAAAAAAAAAAACACGAAGGGCACCTATAATAAAATGTGTGTCGTCTAAAGATGTCGTTTTATAAATTTTAATGGAACGCGCGTTCTATCCGGGGGTAAATGAAATCCTAAAAAATAAAAAAGCCTGCTATCTTTTTCTTCTTTCCCTCTTGCCCTAATTATCGACGATGCTTCCTTTCCATCTTGTTTCTCTCAGTCGCTACCTAGGGTTTTTATTGAAATCTTGAATCGATCAACTGAGGTAACCAAAGGTCAAGCGAACCGGGAAAGGGTTTTTAGTGAAATCTGCTGTTACTCTTTGAAATTGGATCCAATCCCAAAAAAGTAGAACCACCGCCTCTTCCAATTAGCAAGAAAAATGGATAATGTCACAGTAGCACATGGAACTTTCTTCAATTGGCTAATTTGGTCCTTAAAGTTTTTTTTTTTGGTACATTAGGCCAGTAAACTCGTAAGTGACCTTTTAATTACACCATTTTATCAAGTTTTAGACGGTTTCCCGGTGGACCTTTTATATATGTGAATTAATATATATTTTTTGTCTAATCCAATGCCATGTGAGATATGCCATGTCAATTAATGATATAAGAAGCTTAAATCCTAGCATCTTCAATTAATGATCATGTATACCCAATATAACAACCACTTTTTGTTTAAAACAATGAGTTAGTGATTCATTAGTATAATTAGATCCTGTTTGTGTGTTCTCATTCTATAGCAACCTAACTTGTTTGTTATGTTATGTTTTGTTCTGTATCTCTTTATTACATGTTCTGTATGGTATTGTTTGATTCTCTTCATTGTTTGTTTGTTTCTTGCATGAATTGACCCTTTATGTGCTTCATTGTACTAGAAGTAACGAATAGTATTCTCCTAAACTACACCTATTAAAGTTTACTAATGTTCTACTTGGACTATTATTGAAAAGACTCATTTATCTACTAAGTTATGCTTGTACTTTAAAAACGGAGTTTTGTGTAACTATAAAGTAACATAACTTTAAAGAGTTTTGAAATGTTTTGACAACTTATAAATAACATAAGTAACATTTTGAAAGATGTTTAACAACAAACATTTACACAACTATCATTGTGTTCAACTTGTATTCCCCCCCCCCCCTTAAAAAGTAAAAACAGTTAAAAGATTCATTATGGGGTATGAACTCACCTGATGTGGGTGATTCAATCGGGTATGCGGGTAGGGATGAGAAGTTCCACGAATGAAGTCCCAAGACAGAACAAGTCCTAAATGACATATAGGGATACATATTGACATGAATATAGTGTTTATAAACAACTATATGAAAGGAAACACCTTCCGAGACTAGGAAACACCTTGGTTAAGTGTTGGAATCACATGTGATTCATCAAAGGGAAGTGGAATTACCAAAACATGAGTTTAAGGCCTTGTGACCATCACTAATTGAGTTTACGGTCGTAAACCCATGATTTTACGTCCGTAAACTAATTACACTTTGACCATTTTGAGTTTTGAATCCTTCCAAGTCATACTAAGCATCCATACTTCTTGTTTAAGCCTTAGGGAGTGTTTATGGCATCAATACACTCCTAAATTGAGTTGTCGGCCCATGGACCACTTTCCATGTGATTGCGGCCGTAAACACATATGGGTGATGGTATTTTCATTCTTTTGAGTCCTAAACACATCAAGGTAAGGTGCTAGGCTAGTTTCCAAGGCATTAAGAAAGGATAAGGGACACTTTGGCACCAAATTAGGGTTTACGGCCCAAGATGTTCTTGGACCGTAAACACCCTTGATCCTTGGTTTCTTGGGTGTTTTCTTGGTGTTTAGAAGTGTAACAAAACTTATAAGACTCTAGGATAGAAGCACTTACAAGGTAGAAGCTTGAAAAGTTGCTAAAAGTCCAATAACACTATTGTGTGTTCTTGGTGAATTTGAAGATCTACACTTTTGGAATGATTTCACGGATGAAAGTGTGTTAGATCACTAGATTAAGGTAGATATTAACTAATTAGGCCTTAAACACTTACAAGTTGAAGATTAAGAAGGAAAATTCGGATGGTACTTGAGAGGATTTGAGTTTGGATCTTGGAATTGTGAAAAAGTGAGAAAAATACCCAAGTCTCACTTATATAGTCATTAGGGTTTACGGCCCTAATACCATTAGGTTGTAAACTCCAAACTCCAGGGGTTTTTGGAACCTAATCGATGTACAATAAACACTAGGGCATCCTCTCTCGAGTTATCTCTTGAAGCACTAACTTTAAGCGACTCAAACTTATTCCAAAAAGCTTGAAAGTTAGCAGAAACAGTTTTGACTTCTTTTGAAGTGGATGGTTGTACAAAATAGAAATTTTTGGGTTCACATCATCCCCCCATTAGAATGAATTTCGTCCTGAAATTAGCTTTCTTAACATAATTATTGGGGTTGCGCTCTTCTGATTTGCAGAATACTCACTCGTAGACTTGGCAACTTTGCCCCGGGTGTTCCTGATAGGATTAATACTTGGTCCATCTATCATTACCTCGTGTATACAAGACGTATATAATTAGGATTAGTAGGAATGCCGGATGTGCGACTTTGCCCCAGGTTCACAACCTAACGAGGATAGGAGATAGGGCGGAAACACACATACTAGATTTGCGTAATCATAATTATATACCACCCTTGCGTATACACTAAATAATAATAGGTGGGCTGTATTCGTCCATAGCCTCTGTGCTCGAACTTGGTTTGCTGGACGAGTGGTATTTCATGACGGTCTGCGTACATCTGGCGATAAGGCTTCGGAGGACAAAGTACTCTTCGCATGAGTATTTCGGGGGTTTAGAATGCGAAAGATAAAATTTTTGATTCAGGTCGGACTTTCGATGCGAATAATGAAAGTTTCGAGAACTTGACGATCGAGGCGATAGAAACATATGAACTCGGTATGGTGAGGACCACGCCAACTCATGACGAAAGAAAACAACGG